TAAGAGCCTAGACAATTGCAGCTTCAGCTCTCTTTCCACTTTTGGTTTATGTCCAACAGAGGAGCCCTCAAGTTTGCAAGCGCTCCAGGAATTCTTTTACTGGTGCTTTGGCAAGGCTGAGCACTTGGCTCACTCTCACTACAGGCAGTCCCATGTAGTCTTACTGCACAGCAGGCATAAGACCAATAGTCCTGCACTGACTTGTAACTTTGAAGTTCTCTACAAGCTTCATGTTGGCTTTCATGTGAGTAAAATCTTGGCTCTGCCATGCTAGAGCAGCAGCTGCTTACATTCAGTGCATTTTTCACAGCCTTACTAAGAAAATGGGCGTCTTATTCTTGTTACCCTTAGAGCCATCAGCAGTGGCCCTCATGCAGCTGACTATAGCAGTATGCCAATCCTTCTGAAAACTTGCTGAGTTTATTTTTCAGCCTCACCAACAACTGACTTTAAAGCCAGCATTAGTAGAGCTGTTGTATGGCAGCCTTATTTAGGCATAAGATAGTTCCAGACTTGATTTAGCCTTCCACTCCCTTCTGGTTGTGAGATAGAGTAGCGCTGGCAGGAGTAGTAAAAGGATTAATTATTGAAGTGGCTTGGATTTCAAGTGCAGTTCTCCTTTCAAGCTACTTGGAGACACATAAGCTGTTGACTTCCCAAAATTAATCATAACAGGGGCCTTCAGTTGAAAGATTCCAGCACTCTGCATCATGCTGGCTAGTGCTGCTCTGCATTTATTTTTAAGGTCATTAGAATGTGATGCAGTTCACTGCTGTCAGGTTGCCCTTTTGAGAGCATGGGGACTTAAAACCATGAGGTGAGAGATGGTTAAAAAAATGGATCAAAGAATCATAAACTGGTTTGTGTGGGAAAGAATCATCCAGTTCCAAACCCCTGCCATGGGCAGGGACACCTCCCACTAGACCAGTTTGTTCCAAGCCACATCCAACCTGGCCTTCAACACTTCAGGAATGGGGCAGCCACAGCTTCTCTGGGCAACCTGTGCCAGCGCCTCACCACCCTCACAGGGGAGAATTTCTTCTGCATATCAATCCTAAATTTTCCCTATTTCAATTTGAAGGCATTCCCGTTTGTCTTGTCACTATGGTCCCTGATGCAGAGTCCCTTTCCAACTTCCCTGTAGCCCATTTAGATACTGGAAGGTGCTGTGAGGTCTCCACATAACCTTCTCCAAGCTGAACAGTCCCAACTTTCTCTGCTCCTCTCCATAGGGCAAGTGCTCAGTCCCCTTATCAACTTGGTGACCCTCCTCTGGACTCGCTCTAGCAGTTCTCGGTCTTTCTCATGTTTGGGGCACCACATCTGTACACAGTGCTCCAAGTGGGGTCTCAGGAGAGGGGCTACTGTATGCAGGAGACCTGCTGCCAACACTTAATTATTTCAACACTCATTGGACTATTTGCACTCAAGTACTGACCAAGGAGTGCAAATAAGAGCACAAAGAGCTACAATAATCATGGATCAAGAGCTCCATGCAGCAGGCTCATGGTCAGCCTCCCTGCACATTGAGTCTCTTGTGCCCACAACAGGAATTGTTATATGATCTCCCCCTTTAACTCAGACCCTGAGAAGTTCTGCCTCCTTCCTCACCAGGAGAGTGTCAGGCAGCCAGCCAAGGTCAGCCCATCACACCCACTGTGTCATTCATCCCCTACACATTCACAGACTGGGGATGACCATGTCAGGGTGGCTCCAAATGAAGTCAGTCAACATTTTAACAGTGAGTACATTTATTGAAGTGTCTGAAGTTCTGCACTCCATTGGACACTGTTCATAATTTAAAGGCAAGAGCAAAACATTGTGACAGGCTCCAACTGGGATATTAAAAAACTCACAAAGTCATGTCACTTAAGAAATACAGTTAAATTCTTCAATCATTTTGGTCTTCATCCCAGTCTTTCTTTCCTGATGGAGGTTTTGGGCCACCAGCTGGTTTTGCCATAATGATCTTGAAGAGAATAGAGAAGCAGAAAAAACTAATGTCACAATCAGGCTTGTACCGTTCTACAGCCACGTGATGCTGACTGCTAGCATTCACTACATTCATGCAGTTTCCTTACACTGAACCCAAGCCAGTGAATATCCATCTAATTGAGATATTAACAACTTTTTTACTTGAGAACGGTAGAGGGTGAGCCCTGATACAGTAAAAAAAGGTATTGTACCTCATTTTTGCATGCAAAGTCAGACTTCAGTTAGTCTATAGAAAGTGAGTGCTTAAATAGGCCAACAGCAGAGTAGTTTACAGGGTGCACACTACAGAAAGGATTATCAAAGCTATTGCTCTCAATTATTGTCTCTAAATACCACACTTTAAAACCATGAAGTCCATCAGTCCTACCATGTTAAAGCTCATTATCTGCACTGGCTACATGGACAAGTAAGGTAAATCTGAACCTGTACTTATCATCCCTTCCAGGAAAACTTGGATTTAGGAGTAGAATCCATTTGCAAAGGGCACAAATACGGGATGTAGCAATCAGCACACAGCAGAAGACAGCAGTGTTATGTGTTCTCAAGGAGCATACAATCTGCCATGTGCTTGTCAATGAACTCATGCATGCACTCACACAGATACCTCTCTGCTAGAGAAACAGAGCTTACTGCACACTAGTTTTCAGGCTCATCTTTCCAGTCATCCTTATCCCAATGTCCTTGTTGCTTAGGGGCTTTTGGACCGCCTGCTGTTTTTGCCATAATAATCTACAGAAATTTTACATGCAAATTCATTTTTGCTGAAGTTTCACACAATAATAAAAGATTTTCATCATCAAGACTGTAACCTCTAATTTTCCTAAAAATTGGATTTTCATGTAAAAAAATATGATAGAAGGTTTCTTCCATTAAAGCTTGTTCCTACAGAAATTAGGGTAACTCTCTGGATACAAGTATCAACTGTCTTCAAAATATCAACAAAACCTTTAAAAAAAAAAATTCCCAAACCCAACAATTATTAATAGTACTGCTACAGAAGCATCCACATTCCAGATTACAAGCTGTTGAACAAATAACTTCCTGGCTTCCAGAAATAAATAAACCACATTCTCAAGTAGCATTATGTTTACACCTTGCATTTCCAGGGATTCCACCTATTTGCAGGAGGGTTCTGCCAGGTTTTAATTCAGCACCCAAACGACACATAAGCTTACCTGATCAACCCTTAGGACAGTTACTGCTGCATTTGTAGCTAGCTTGATACCCCAGAATTTTCCAAGATATGTGTCTAACACACCAGCTTCCAACATATCCTTTACTGCAGCAGCTTCAGCCTGTCAGAGGGGGAAAAAACATTATGCAAAACTTTCTCAGGCTTTCACCTAGTTTTTTCCTAATCTCATCTTCTCCCTTCAGAAAACCTTCATTCCTGATCCATATCAGGAAGACGAAGTCAGTAATTACTGAAGACCTAGTCCCTGTCACATTAGTTCAGTATTCCCCTCCATCTCTGACTATTATACTATACTGAACTGAACTGCTTGTTGACAAAAAGAATATTTACAAACCTCAATTACAGAAAGTTATTATTCTAGACTGTGCAACACAGAGTCTCCAACAATTTAAAATAACCTATAAATACTTCATACTGATAGAAGTACTCTTAAGTATAACCCTGCACTGCAGGGCAACGAGTAACATGAGAGACTATTTACCTCAATATCAAATCCAACGTTTTTCTTCCCTTCCTGATGCACAGCATAAAGTTTGGAGATGACCTCATTAGCCTTTACTCCAGAGTTCTCTGCTAGTGCTCGAGGAATGGCTTCAAATGCCTCAGCAAATTTCTTGATGGCATATTGGTCAAGTCCAGGACAAGTCTAAAATGATGTTGAAAACCATGTCAGCGTTTCAAAAACTGTAAGATAGGGAGGCATTTCCCCCCACACTTGTTATTACACATATATATATTGAAATGAAATAATATTGGTATTTTTTGCGAGATGTGTGATGATGAAAAGCCAAGAAGCCTGTTTGCTGTACCTCTCCATAAGATGTGATCTGCTTGGCTAATTCAATCTCTGTTGCACCACCTCCAGGAACAAGACGTTTATCCTGTGGAAAGACCACATAAAAACACAATGTTTTGCTTAAAGCATCCATTACTTATTTTTTTAGGATTTGTCTAGTCTATCAAGAACGCAACAGAACTTTATTCCACACAGACTCATTAAGAATCCACTTCAGAACAAACATGCATTGTAAGGGAAATCTACCAGAATTTACTTTCATTCCTCTGTCTTTGAAGAAGAACAGCTTCTTTTATAAAAACCATAATAATGCTGCAGTGGGTTTTGTGTCTGGGATTTTTTGTCTTTTTTTTTTTAAACTTCTAAATTTTTTAAAATTCATGGTTAACTGTAAAAGCGTTCCTAGATTTTCTCATATTTTCTATTATTTTGGTGGGAAATATCATACAGGAAACCAATCTACTGTACGCTAAGTTTAATATGTCAACAGGTATTACAAGGTGTTGGGAGTTTTTGTTTTGTTTTCTTTTATTTTAAATTAAGCATTTTGTACATCCTTTGGCAAACCAGAATTTACTTATTAACTCTGGTCTCTTAACCCACAAAGTAATCATCATAAATCTTAGAACAACTCCTGGAGACAATCATAAATGCACAGCATTTCTGTACTCAAAATCAATGTC